TTAAATTTGTTTATTTAAAATAATAATGATAGACAGACGTTTTAAACTCGTTATTCAAGGATTCTGATCAAAATTTTGGTTATATTATCACTATTACTATTTTAATTAATTACAATTTAATTTATTTATTTTTTTAAATTATAATGTAACAAGTTTGGATTAGATATAAATACTGACCTAGTTCTTTTCGGCCCAACTCATATACATAACAGGCCGTACTTAGTTGGACCTGTTGACTGCATAAACAGGGGTGCTCGACCAGCGACCTGGCCGAAGACCATTTAAAAACCCTATATATATATTAAAAAAAAAAAAAAAAACAAAAACACCATTTTCTCCCTCCCTCTCGAGGTCTCACTTGCCGCCGGAAAACTGCTATCAAACAAACTAAAGAAAAGACTCCCTCCTTGCAGCTAAAATCACCTATATCTTTCCCAAGCTTTCCATCTGTTCTTCTCTGTTTCACCTTTTCTTTTACCTTCACTCAGTTCACAAGGAAGAAACTCAACCGCAAACTTCAATTCATTGTTTTACATAAGTAAGCTAAGATGCCTTCGAAGACGAAAAAGCACACAAAGACTCCTTCAAGGCTCTCGAATTCCGAACAGTCTGCGTCTCCCAGGACGCCGTCATCGGCACCGTGTCCTGATAACGAAGCTAGCGAAGAAGATTATCAGAGCTTCATTGAAGAGGCTTCAAGGCTATATCCGTCTTTGATTGGGAAGTCTGCCTTCGTTGGGAAAGTGACCGGAGTTGAGTCTGAATCCAGGGGCTGTAAGCTCTGGCTTTCCGAAACTTCGATGGTTGCTTGCTCCCTCGCTCCTGGTTCCATTGTGTCGGTAATTTCATATTCTCCTGTAAAGATAAGATGATTGTTCTTAGAGGCATTTGTTTCGTTTTACATTATTTTGGTAGTTTTGTTATATGGTTGATCAGGAATTTGTGTGATTCAGATTCCAACTCTTATTATTGGATTTAACTATTTAGTATTTTACTTACTTTGTCCACGTAGAATTTTATTTTGTTGAGGCGCATAACATTTAGTTGCATTTGATTTACTTGAGAAGGGGACATTGAGTTATCTGAGAATTTGAAAATTGAATGGAAGTGTCTGAGTGGTAAAGTGTTAGCTACACTTGGAAAAATTGGTTTGGAGTAAGGTATTTTGGTATTCCCTTGGTTTCTGCCAGTGCGCTTACCTTTCCAATTTCATTGGCAGGTCTCACTTGCTGCTTCAGAGAAGAGATCTTCAGGCTGCTTTCCTCTTGGCTCTGTAACAGATGAATATGCTAGACATTTTGGGGTTGATTCTGAAAATGAGACTTTTAATGAAGTGGGGAACTACTTTGCTCTTGCAACAGTTTTTCCTTCTTGTAAGGTTTGAATGAAAAGTCTATACATGCATTTTTTTTTCAGAAGTCCTTTATCTTGCAAGGAAATCCCAAAAAATAGAAGCGTTGAAGAACTAGACCATGACATTAATTAGAATTTTAAAAAGACATGTATGTGCTTAAGCACCCTCTTTAAAGATTAAGTCCACTGACTGAAAGATATAAGTTTATTCAAAAGCATCATCCCTCTGGTAACACCTTGGTTTAAAGAACTGGTTGAACTGCTGGTTTTGAGGGACATCCGTATGATGGATTTCCACATTCTGAATAGTTAACCATTATGACGAGGCAATTTCTAGCCATTTAATTTGATTTTTGACGCAAGTTCTTTACAGAACTTCTTGGGTAACAAATTTATGTCAACTTTTTTCTCATTGTTAAAAGATTTGATTATGTAATACTCTAAAAAAATGCTCCCAGTAAAGGAGTCAGTGTGATGACAACTAAGTTTGAAGTGCCTTTTTCACCTTGTTCTTCTAAATTTTTTAATCTATACATTTGAAACCTTTTTCTTTCCCTATTTGTTGAATAGTTTTGATATATAACATATTAATGGTATTTCCTTATGGATAAAACATAAGTTTGTAATGTTTTCTATTTCTATATACTCCATGTTATCTATTTTATTCATGCTTTTCTTTTGTATCTTGAATTGGAAAAATGTGAAATATGGTTTTTTCTGTTTTCCCCTTCTGATATACAGGTTTCGAAGAATTTGGTGCAGTTTTCTTTAAATCTTTCTTATGCATTGGGGTGTCCTGCTTCCGGCAAGGTTGTCTTTGTTTACCCGGTGCAAAGACCATCCTTACTTAATCTTGCAAGTGGGAGGAATCTACAGTTTGACACTAGAGTTGGCCCTTTTTCATTCCTTGACTGTAAGGAATTGTATTTGGAGTTGTCTCCTTTACAGAGTAAAGAAAAAATGAACCGCAATCTGTTATCTAGAGTGAAATTTTCTGCAGAAAAGTCTCATGATGTTCTCGGAATTGGAATGAGTTCAACTCCTGAGACACCAAAGTCTGTGTTTCCTAATGCAGAAAAGTCTCAAGGATCAGTTTCCAATTTACCCAAACAAAAGAGCTCTTCTGTTGATTTATATGATGTTATAGAGGTATTAAAGGATGAAAGTGCTAAACAACTTCTGCAGACATGTGCTACTTCATGGTTGCGTTCTCGTATTTTACTTCATGGAAATTACGTGGCAATACCAGTACTCTCAGAGCTTTGCGTTTTTCGTGTCAAGGGTGCTGATAAATTGTCAGCAGATAGTATTAATCAAGATTTGATGAATGGAGAGAGTCAAAGCCTGCGTCCGCCAATTCAAGGATTAGTGGACTCTGTGATTGATGCATTTGTTGTGAAAGGAGAAACAAAAGTATATTTGTCTCAACCACCGAATGCAGTATCTGAAACTTCACAAAAAGAGGATTTCCCACGTGTTAAGCTCGATCTTGGAGATGTGGAAATCAATGTGCAACATGCTATTCCAAAACTGGGTGGTCTATCAAAAGAATTTGCAGTGCTGAAGGATATAATTATTTCCTCTGCCATGAAGGATGCCCTGTCAAGGTAAGTCACATAGTACCACCACACAAACACGCAAAAAAATTAAATGACATAAAACAAAATCAAATATGACTCCTAAATGCAAAATTAGAGATCCCTAGACTTTGATTACCAATAAGGAACTTTTATGTGCATTTATATCCAGAAACATTTATGCTACAGACGCAAAAATGTTTCTCTTGAAAAAAACTACAGATCATTAGAATATCATCACTGGGGAGCTATAATGCAATGATTTCCAGAAGCATTTTCATTAATACTACTGTGCCTTGTAGTGGCTCCTTCTCCATCGTGGCCAGTTAATGCCTTAGAACCAGGAAATATCTTATGTAGAGTTGAAAGCTCCATTTATCTCTTATATCAAGTTATTGTGGTTCCATAACTCCTAACTTGGTAAGGCGAAAGCTTAAAATACTGAATCCAGTAAATTTAGCTAAAGTTTAGGTAACCCTAGTAACTACATCACATAAAAAAATTAGTATCTGCTATTTGGATTTGATAATCATAGTGAAGGCAGACAGCTTTCAGCTACCTGTTAGTTTCTGTAGCCATTTTATTGTGATTAGGTTTTTTCCCTGTCATTCAAAGCTCATTCTTTTATAGAGTCTCAGTTGTCCTTTTATCGCTAGCATTTGCAAGCACAGGTTCCTTTGGTCTAAAAATTTTATCATTTAATGCTGATCATCAGTGTAACTATTTTAGTCTTGGTCTACGAACTACAAAGGGAGTCCTTCTTCATGGTCCCCCAGGAACTGGAAAGACTACCTTGGCTCGATTCTGTGCCCATGAAGCTGGCATCAAAATTTTCTCCATGAACGGACCTGAGATTGTCAGTCAGTATTATGGTGAAAGTGAGCAAGCACTTCATGAAATTTTCAGTTCAGCTAGCCAAGCTGCACCTGCTGTGGTTAGATTCTTGTCTCTAAGAATCCTTATTCCTCTTTCTGTCTTTTTTTTGGCTTTCTTGATGATTATAATTTTAACTTGCATTACAATTTAGAAAGCTATAAGATATGTGCTTCTCAAAAACTCAGATTTTCTTGGATTCTTTCAAAATACACACATGTTGCCATTCTTTTATCCATAAAAAAGACATAATTTCTTCAGAAGGGTGTGAAATATTAGGGGTGGTTAAGATAGATGCCTTGTGGTTTAACTCCACAAGGGAGTTATTTGGCCAGTACGTCCAAAGGTCCAATGGCAACGTTACTATATTTCTCTATCATATGGGGTAAATGGGTAAATTTATTACTTGTTTTCTAGTCTTTAAATTCACGCATTCCTAGGTCTCTGCCTCACACATTACTTCTCTCTTTAGTCAGGTAGTTACTAGTTTTATTGTGTAGGTATTCATTGACGAGTTAGATGCCATTGCACCTGCAAGAAAGATGGAGGCGAAGAACTATCTCAAAGACTGGTTGCTACTTTGTTAAACTTGATGGATGGGATAAGCAGAACTGATGGATTGCTTGTTATTGCTGCCACCAACAGGCCTGATAGTATTGAACCTGCACTTAGACGACCTGGAAGGTTCGACAGGGAAATCGAGATAGGTAAATCTAAGAATAGGAATTGCTATATGTGTGTGTCTTTATAATAAAATCATGAAGGAAGTGATGCAGTGTTTCATGTCATGTCAGATTGTGAGCTTTTTCTTTTTAATTTTTTAATCTCAATGGTTAAACAATATGGATTAAAAGGAATAAAATTTGTAGATCTTACTAAATCATCCTTTCCTCCTAGATGAGAAATCTAGTTTAAATGGTTTCCTAAACCAACCTAAAATGGAATGTTATTCAAGATCCTTTCAGTCCGTTCTCTATTCAAAATATTTGCCTAATGATGCAGGTGTACCATCTCCCAAGCAACGGTTGTCTATATTACACACTATTCTCAATGAAATGGATCATTCTCTTTCAGACCAACAAATTCTACACCTAGCTATGACTACACATGGTTTTGTGGGTGCTGATCTAACTGCCCTCTGTAATGAAGCAGCCTTGGTTTGTCTTAGACGTTATGCTAAATATAAAGATTCCTTTGTTGACTTCCACTCTAGTACGGTACTTACTGCTGATAGCATATCGGAGAGATCTGCTTTCTCAACAAATCTAAGAGAAATTGCGAGAGAATGTTCAGATTCTGCATCCTCATGTGTAACAGATTTGCATGTTTCCTCAGGGATTCCACCATCAGCTCACTTGAAAGGATTAAATTCACAAACTTCAAATTCAAATTGTCTTGATTCTAGTTCTGAACAGATGCTTTTTGTGGAAGAAGAGTGTGCCCTTGAAGTGGTTTTTGAGGATTTTGAAAAGGCCAGGATGAAAATACGACCTAGTGCAATGCGAGAGGTATAATCAAGCAATCCTTTTTGTCTGGTAAACAAATTAATCCATTTTATTATGGAAGCAATTGTCACCTTCGTCCATTGAGGAGTATTTTTCTTTCCATCATGTTTCTTCCTTTCTATTTGTCCATAAGTCCACACTTATTTCTTCTTAAGTTGAACCTTATTGTTTCAGTTAGTAAACTGAATTCCAATATAGTAAATTGGTTATTTGCTTCTTTGGTTAAAGGACCTAGATTCTGTAGCAAGTTCTCTATTTATAATTATTTGTTTACATCTTTTGGAAGTATTCCAGTACTTATGAAGGAGTTGCTATATGTCGGACACATTAATCACAAGAACTAAGCTGATCATTCGGAGGCCAATTCCCTTGGGATTTTCTGTCACCATTTCCCCCTACTTGGGGGTGTTCCTCGGGGTTACTTGGATTAAAGCTTCATAAGCTGCCATCCTTACAGAATTATTCTTCTAATGAAGTAGGAAGGAGTAATATGCTTTAGTTGCTTCTTGAATCTTGATCTAATGTGTTATACCATGGTTTCTTATTAGGTAATACTTGAGATACCTAAGGTAACCTGGGAAGATGTTGGTGGCCAGAAAGAGGTCAAAACTCAATTAATGGAAGCTGTAGAATGGCCTCAGAAGCATCAGGATGCATTCAAACGGATTGGAACACGCCCACCAACAGGGTTGTTGATGTTTGGTCCTCCTGGTTGTAGTAAAACCCTTATGGCTCGTGCAGTAGCTTCTGAAGCAGGGTTGAATTTCCTTGCAGTCAAGGGTCCTGAGCTTTTTAGCAAATGGGTTGGTGAATCTGAGAAGGCTGTTAGATCCCTCTTTGCAAAGGCCAGGGCCAATGCTCCTTCAATCATATTTTTTGATGAAATTGATGGTCTTGCTGTAATTCGTGGAAAGGAAAGTGATGGAGTTTCAGTTTCTGATAGGGTTATGAGTCAACTTCTTGTTGAATTAGATGGTCAGTAATTAACTGGATCCCCGATTTTAAGCTTTTTCCAAAGTGCTCTGCATGTGTTAGGAAATCCTCTTTCTTTGTGTGGCTATTTATTGAGATTTTGTTTTAGAAAAGGCAGATTTTCAACTTCTACTTTCTCTTGTATTTTTTTTTAAAGTATGAATCAACTTTCCCTTGTATTGAGATTTTCCTAGGGAATTAATGACTCTTTAGTTTCTTCTTCTTTTGGGAACTGTGTCATACAATCTTGAACAACAATGCAAGTGGAATTTTCTTTTTGGTGCTAGAAAAAGCTGAAATTTTTTGGCTTCAAAGATTATATGCTAAACTATGTTATTTAATTGAATAAATACTTGATTGAACTCAGGTCTGCATCAAAGAGTTGATGTTACTGTTATTGCTGCCACAAATAGGCCAGACAAAATAGATCAGGCCCTTTTAAGACCTGGTGGGTACTCTCCTCTCTCTCTCTCTCTCTCTCTCTCTCTCTCCCTCTTTGACAAAAATTTGTGTAATTTTACACATATCCCACAAACTGAAGATACCTTCCTAACAAAAGAACTTTTCAGGACGCTTTGATCGGCTGTTATACGTAGGACCTCCTAATAAGAGTGGCCGGGAAGACATTTTCCGCATCCATTTGCGCAAAATTCCATGTTGCTCTGATGTGAACTTAAAAGAACTTGCTTCTCTTACTGAAGGCTATACTGGTGCTGATATATCATTGATCTGTCGGGAGGCAGGTATTGCGGCTATTGAGGTACTTGATGCTTTTTTTTTTAGGATATCTTGTTTTCCAAAAGAAAATCATGTTAATATATTACCAATCATGGAATCAGGAAAGCCTGGATGCTCAGGAAATAACCATGCGACACTTAAAGACTGCAATCGGACAAGTACAGCCATCAGGGGTTCAGTCTTATCAAAAGTTGTGTGCTAAATTTCAAAGGTTCGTCTCCTCTGGTGCTGAAAGAGACATATTAGAACGTGAAAGCTGCTCAAGTAGAAGCAAATGGTTTCCAGTCTGGTAAGGCATTTCGTTATCTTCTAATACAATCTTTACTGTCTAGGCTATTGAACAGAAATCTTAGGAGGCTTTTTCTTTGTCACAAAAATTTAAGAAGCTTGGTTGTAACAGATATTTTCACTCTCAAAAGTTGTCAATTTCTAGTGTTGGCTGTTAAGATAGAAACATGATTATTCTACTTGACTTAGACAAGCCTTCTGTACATTTATTATGGTATGTTGAGGGGGAAAGGTGGGGTAAGTGCCTTTGTACTTGCCTCAATTTTTTGAAGTATGAATCATACAATACATTTTTTTCTATGGTTTTCTACTTTAGCTAGTTACTTCATTTTTTTTTTTAATTTTTAAGAAATTACTAATTGCACCTATTCTTCTTTTTCACTCCTCAGGACATTAATTAAATCTGTCACACAGCTTCTCTACCACTTAGCAGCGGCATTTTCCCGCTCAAAATCTTAAAGTAGGTACCTGTGATGTTGCCACTAGTCATCATTTTCTAAAGGCTCCAGCTCCATGCTATTGAGTTTAGAATACCACGTTGAATTGTCGAACATGCTCCAAGTGACGAGACATCTGCTCTGCACGTCTTTACTCAGGTAACAGTCTTCTCCATAATCTTCTCTTATGAAGTACCGATGATTGTCCATGCATAATTAACATATATATATATATATATATATATATTTATCAAAGCTGGGATCCTGTATATTTTCAATTAAAAAAAAGCTGGGATCCTGTAAAAATGAGATGGCAGTTTCAGGCTTAGAGGTTTCTCTGTCTACATAAAGCTGCAAGTGTTGAGTTCCAATTCGAGTGAAGGAGAGAACCTAGTAAGTGCAAAGATGGGACCAGATGGCTTCAAGATGTGCAGAGAGTTCTTTTCCAGTGGCAGGGACAGCAGAATGCCAACGTTGCCTCTTCTTGGCCTACCAAGAGTATTATCTACTCTTTTTTAATTCAGGTGGATGGATTTGCCGTTGCTTGTTCATGGCTTATCAAGAGTATTATCTACTCTTTTTTATTTCAGGTGGATGGATTTGTGCGACAGAAGGAATGCCTGATTGTATCATTATGATCCCTATCAGTATTCACTTTTTTTGCCTTTTTTTTTTTTTTACTGGAGGCTGTGATAGGTTATGAAATATCTTGAAGAACATCTCTTTCTCAAAATATAGCTAAAAGTCTGAATGGAGTAAATTGTCTTCTGTTCAATCTATCTTTCTGTAGTTTTGGCGATTCTTTTTCTCTTCTTTCTTAATGAAAATTTCTTTTTCTATAAATCATGATCTTTTTCATTATATCAGTTGTTGTCAGAGGATAAGAAGGACAAAATAACAATAATAAATTAGTTTTGGTCTATATTAGGTGTCCCATCATTAGAGACGTGGAATTTGATGAGTATTGATACAATTAAAATATGATCCACGTTTACTGTTCGCTAATGGTTATGAATTACATAGTACATTAATTAAAATAAAATTATAAAAAATATACGTGAACCAAATATTTTACAATAATATATGAACTAATCTAATATTTTAACTAATTAAAAAAATATTTTTTTATGAATTAAAATCAGCTACACGGGGTTGGTATAATTGTAGTGAAATTTATTTTTTGAACGAAAGTTTCATAAATGTCTTCACGAACATAGATTTTTCATAAATTAAAAAATGCATGAAAATAATTCAATCTTCTAAAATGCAAATGGCTTAATTCATACTAGAATAATAAGATCATGTTTGATAAATTGAAGCACTGTATTTGATTTTGAAATAATGCATTATTTTTGTGATACATAAATTATTTAATCCCCTTGAGACATCTTTTATTTTTTTAAAAAAATATGTTAAAATTTTTAAATAAGTTTCAAATAAAAAATTAAAATCCTATCAATACACCTACACCTACCAAGATAAGTTTAAAACTTATTAAAAATTCAAATGGAAAGAGAGTTGACAACACTCTTTATAACTAAAATGTGGGAACCTCAATATATTTAATTATAATAGGACCCTATATAATGCATGTTGTAAGTCTCATGAGCAGACTTATGAATTGTTTAAACGATACACATTTATAAGAACAAAGTGAATTTTTAGATATTTGCAAAGCATAATAAATTGTAAAATAATGTATAAGAATGTTAAAAAATTATGTTTACTTGATTTTACAGACAGTGACTATACTGATGGAATGATGTGCATTCTCCTGTAAAAGAAAATAATAATTGTAACCTCGTCAACACTATAATAACATAATTCATAGAAACGATAACAAGTGTTTGTCAAACAATTTGTGTATAGAAAATCCTTTGATGCTATTTATTTCAAGCAAAAATAATCTACTCTTATTCATTATGACAACATTTTAACCATTAAGCTCCTATTTTACTGGGAGGAGCAAACATATTGATACACAGAATATTACTCATTGCAAGATTTCACAAGAAATAAAATAGTTGACCTTGTATACTGCTGAAGTGAAGATCAAGCCGCTGATATATTTACAAAGGCCCTTAAGTGCATTTCAGAAACTCAGGAGACTAGTTGGAGTTTGCATCATACCAAGTCCATATGAGTGAAATATATATATATATATATATATATACGTGTGTGTGTGTGTGTATATATTTTGTTTAAATTCATTAATTTAAGGGAGGAATGCTTGAAGTTGTTTGACTTTCCATGTCAAGCTGTTGGAATATCTATCTACAGCTGTTGGACTGTCTATGTAAAGCTGCCGCTTCGTTAATATAATTATCCAATCATGACTTTCGTTTCAAATTTTTTCTTCCATCTGATAATTTGACAGGGAGGAAGAGACATGGACTTTGGAGATCTAAGAGAGACGATAGAGAAGATAGAGGTAGTGGACGCTCACGCGCACAACATCGTCGCACTTGACTCCTCCTTCCCGTTCCTCAACTGCTTCTCGGAGGCCAGCGGCGACGCCTTGGCCTATGCAACCCACTCCCTCTCATTCAAGGTATGGTCTCCCTCTTTCTGTCCTTGCTATCGTGCGCCTCAGGATGAAGTGCGCGCACGCCTGTCCGCGTTCCATCTTATTTGTGCATGGTAGAGAAGATTACAGTGATGGATGGATGTACGTGTTAAGTGCCATTATTCATTTATCAACCACTGATGCACTTTTTGCAGTTCGCATTCAGAAATCCGTTACTCAGCTCATTATCTCTTGAAGAAATTTACAGATGATGTAAATTATGGATACGATTGGTCAAATAGAATTTCGTTTTCTTCTTTAATTACTGGCTTCTATCCCAAATCATTAAATGGAAGAGGGACATCGTTTAAGTTTAGCGTTCTTGAGATTTTTATTTGATGACTTCATTTTCAAAGTTCTATACTGGGAGTGGTGTTTTTCTTCTGTGGATGAAACTATCTAATTAGATTTAACTCGGTTACTGTTACATAGTCTGAGTTTTATGTTCTTGAGGCGATTATTTGATGACTTCATTTTCAAGTTCTATACTGGAAGTGTGGTGTTTTTCTTCTGTGGATGTAACTATCTATCTATATTTAACTCATTTACTGTTACATATTTTATGTTTAATGTTCTTGAGGCGATTATTTGATGACTTCATTTTCTAAATTCTATACTGGAAGGATGGTGTTTTTCTTCTGTGGATGAAACTATCTATTTATATTTAACTCAGTTACTGTTACATAGTCTAAGTTTAATGTTCTTGAGGCGATTATTTGATGACTTCATTTTCAAAGTTCTTTACTGTAAGTATGGTATTTTTCTTCTGTGTAGGAAACTATGTATTTATATTTAACTCAGTTACTGTTACATAGTCTTACACTGAGAAATTCTGGAGGTGTTCTGTTATCTCGGCTAGCTACTCCTGAGTGTCTGCTACTCCTCTTTTATGAGTAGCAACTCTTCTTTTACTCGTAAAGAAGTTTCAGCCCCAAATTAATTGTGAACTCTGTCTCTATTGCTGATCATAGTGTATAATTGTTTTCTTTGGTTTCCATTTTCAGTTTTGAGTGATGGGATCTGAATCTTTGATGGCAACAAAAAGCTTGACTTTTTGGGCTTCAGTTCTTACCTAAGTGTATATATTTGTGCCAGAGAAATTTGAGGGAGATTGCTGAACTGTATGGCACAGTATCTACCTTGCATGCGGTTGAGGAATACCGCAAATCAGCAGGATTGCAAGCTATTAGTTCAGTCTGCTTTAGAGCTGCAGGAATCTCTGCCATACTCATTGATGATGGATTGATCTTGGACAAAAAGCAGGACATTGAATGGCATAGATGTGCTGCTCCATTTGTGGGTAGGATACTGAGGATTGAACGTCTGGCTGAGGAAATTCTTGAGGAAGTAAGATACTAGCTGATCTTTCATGATTGTTAGTCAACTACTGATACTCATAACTGTTATAGGCATTTTGTTTTGTTTGCAAAATGTGTTTTGTATGATCAATTTATTCATTCTTCAATACTACTATGGTGTTTTTGTACTTATAATACACAACATGTGAACCTCCACTTCTCACTACTATTTAGAGCCTTGTTATCACGTACTTTAGTTTGCCTGATGAAATTTATAATAATTTGGAATAGTTTGTAATTTGAAGAATCAAATACTAGACTGCTACCTTGATCTTGAGGTGGTTGGATTTGGATCAGAAGCAAATGCTGGGACTAGAAATTTCATTTCTTTGTTGACAGCATCAATTCTCACTTCTCCTTGTTCACTTGTATGATCAGTGGAAAAGTTAGCAATGTTGTTATTTTTTCCTAAGTTTTTTTTCTTTTGGTACTATGTGTCTTTGCAGGGGATGGCAGGTGGATGCACTTGGACATTGGATTCGTTCATTGACATTTTTGATAAAAAATTGAAGTCATATCCTTTCAGTTAGAGTTAGTTCATGAGTGTGTATTTGTTGCTAGTAGATCTGTAGCCACATAATTGTTTGCAACTTATCACATTTTGCCTCCACAATTCACTTGGAATTCATAATTTGGTACACAATAACTGCAATTAGATAAATGGGAAGTTTGTTTCTGTCACTGTTTACTCTAAAATTATATAAAATATATGGATAAGAGAATCCTTGGTCGTAGTTGGTTTCCTTATAAATTACAGCTGTTGGTCAAATTGTTGCGTTAAAAAGCATAGCTGCATACCGCAGCGGTCTAGAAATCAAAACAGATGTAACTAGAAAAGATGCTGAGGAAGGTCTAACCAAAATTTTGAGCGGTGAGTATAGCAAGTAAAATATTGAAATTTCTCTACTCTTATAACGTTATAATAACAATTTTTCTTCTATTTGTTTACCAGCTGGAAAGCCGGTCCGTGTTACAGACAAAAGCTTAATTGACTATTTATTCACATATAGTTTGGAGTTTGCTGCATGCTTTGACTTGCCATTGCAGATACACACTGGGTAATAGAATTTTTTTGCTTAATTAACTTCTTTTTTCTGCTCCGGGAAGTTTTAACAAAGGGAATGAGGTTGGAATTTAGATCTCTGAGCGTGGAACTGCTGGAAATTTGAACAGTTTGCCTGTGTTTTCTGCTGTCTGGTTATGAAATGCATTTATCTCAGATGTTTTTCATATGCAAGTATTCAGTCAGTTTTGGGAAAATGGCTTTACAATTGAGATCAAATTGTAGATTTCCATTTCAGGAGCAACACTTGTTCGTATCTATAATATTCTTATTTTCTAAAAAAAATATTGTAGGTTTTTGTGAGAAAAATGCACTTTCCTTGTCCACTTCCGAAAAATATCAAAGAGAGCTCCTAAAATTCCAATTTATATTTCCTTGCTCTTTGAAGAGCAAATGCAGTGGCTTCAGGCAATGTGCACTTCTGGTATTATTGTATTTTATTTGCTAACTTTTCCTTCTCTTCCAATTAGTTTTGGAGACAAAGATTTAGATTTACGGTTATCCAATCCTCTTCACCTACGAGCCATTCTCGAGGACAAGAGATTTTCCAATTGTCGTATAGTTCTTTTACATGCATCATATCCATTCTCAAAGGAAGCATCATATCTTGCCTCTGTTTATTCTCAGGTGAAATTACTATGCTCTGTGAATTATACTCATTTGTTAATCATAAACTAACATTTTTATTCAGATTGTAAATTCTCTTACTTTTACTTTCAGGTATATCTTGATTTCGGTTTAGCAGTTCCAAAGCTTAGTGCTCACGGGATGATCTCTTCGGTAAAAGAACTTTTGGATCTAGCCCCAGTAAAGAAGGTGAAAACATCTGCACTTAAAGCAATAGAGAATACAATGCAGAAAAATTTATTGAAGTAACCTATAAACTCTCTTGCGAGAGTAAATGTACATGTTGTTAATGTATTTCGTCAAGTTTTTATAATTTTGGTAAACACCATCTTCGAGAAATGTAATTTTTTCCTGGATTACAGATCTAAATACAACTTTTTCTGAGTGCTAACTGTTAAGCTATCAAGTGTAAGCTTTTGGCTGGTTTTTTGAAATCTTCCCACTTCTTGTAATGATATTTTTCCTAAGAATCTTCTGATTGTAAGTACAAGGGTATACTGATTTCTTTACTTCTTCTATAATTAAATAATGTTAATTAAAAGGAAATTTGCAGGTAATGTTCAGCACCGATGGTTATGCATCTCCTGAAACTTTCTACTTAGGTATGAATAGGCCACTTGGGATCTTTTCTTCTTACATTTCAATATAGTTTTGTTAAAAAAATAATAAATTATGTTGAAGGATATAAGATAAATTACACTTTTGATAATTAATTGCAATTTATTATCTATTTTCTTTCTCGTCATTTATGTATATATAAAACTGTAATATTTAGTTGAATACACATCAAACCATTCTTGATATAGTATCAGAGTTTAGGTTAAGGAGACCCCAATCTCAACTACAAATTTTATTCTGCCTTATTGCTGAAAACAAAAAAGAAAAAACCCCAAAAGAGTTAGGTCAACCATCATAACTTACAACTACAAGTCAGCCACTAGGCACCGCTGCTGGCCATCGGTAGCAACAAATTGGTCATCATCATTAACGCTAGAAACTTAAACAGTGCATTCAGGCACAGCCACACTGCCAAACACGTCTGCATCCAGATACAGATGTGACCTTCTTTGATCCATTGTCGTCTGTCGCAATACCTCGTCCCATGATTAGACGTAGACGCCAGATGCAGGTGCAACGCTATCTACAGATGAACGACACTCGCAAAGAACGATAGACGAGACGAGTGACAAATGTGAGAGGAATGAACCTCTGCTCTTATCGCGCCCCTGTGCATAGTGTCTCTGCCATTTGTTGCACTCCTGCCTATGCTCTATGCACACTACCTATCACCATTGTGTATGCAAGTCTGTGTTTTTTACCAAAATCTAAATTGAGTCAAGTCAAGTAAAGGTGGTAAGGTTCAAGGGGGCAAGGATTGTCTGAGCTAACTCAGTGAGTTGAATAATGAGATTATACCATGTCTGTGTTGATTTATTGAGTTTTTAGTTCGAGTTGACTCAATTACTGATTCAGAACTATATTATTTGCAAGTTGTAGATTTCCTACTCATGGAGCCACATATTTTGAGTAAAAATATTTCAATAATTTTTCCTTTTCCAGATTAATTATTAGTACAATTTTTAAAGGATGTCAGAGATAACATCTCAAGTTACTGGAGCAAATACTGAAATGGCAACTCCAGATCTTAGTGAATTCAAAATGGAGATTGAAATACTAAGATCTTGACTTGAGTCCTAGGAGAAACAAATAAATATGAATTTACTGGCTTACTCAGGTACAATTTTTACCTCAAATGAACTAAATGACTTAGATAAGCCATTTGAAAATTTTTGAATTGTAAACGTAGGAGTCACAAATTATATGATCAATACTTGTAAATATCTATGTATGCTCCATGTTTAATTAATAAAAACATTGTTATTATCGATGGTTTCCTCAATACTATTGCAGATGAGGACGATTTTAAGTTTAATCTTACCATTGTCCTAAAATGTGTTACATGTTCTCAAATTGTGCACTAATCTTGTGTCGGTTAATGAGTTATCACAAACTTGAACTACAAAGTAATGTTTGACACTTTTCATTATGACTTTTAGGACTAGAATTTGAGGAAAATGATTAGCGTGGTAAAGTTAGACACAAAATCTACTATTTGGAGATCAACATCCATACCTAATATTTTTAGAGTTCAATGATTTGTATCATTTATTAGCAATTGTGTTAGAGTCACTTGGCTATTTTTACTTAAAGATAAATTTGATGTTAATCATATCATATATGGTTCTGTAATGTAATGAAAAACCCAATTTGGAACTGGCATAAAATGATTTCGTACCGATAGCACCAAATATTTTTTTAACCATATGCTTTCATCATTCTTCTATCATGAAGGAATTCTCTATAGATTATCTTGCATCCACATTTCACAGTAAAATAGGAATTAGCTACCACTAGAGCTTTTATTTTTCAAAACGACATTCAAAAGCAATCTTATCGTGAAACCATCTTTACTGCTACCTATATTATTAATAACTTGTTCACCAGCGATCTTGACTTTAAAAATTCTCAAGAAATACTACAAAAACTTTACCCAGCAATAAGTATTACAAACTATCCGATTCCTCAAATAGTTAGTATGTTGTCCTCATTTATATTTATTCCTACCGAAGAAGGATATTTAATAATCGAACTCTGAAATGTGTATTTATGAAGTACTTTTCTGCTTAAAAATGGTATAAATGTTAACATCCATCAACAAAAAAGTTTTATGTGTCTGCAGATATTATATTTATTAAAAAAAATTCTAATTTACCCAACCTTATCTTTAGTGGGAGTTTGTATTGTAAGATAAGAATACAAAATTCTTAATAGAATTTATCCTCTACATTTGTCGCACAATCCTTTGCCAAATATCCCAACACCATCACCATAAGAAAACCTTTAGAACCTACCAAAAAATTCATCTAATCAAGAGATCATACTAGACCCTATATGTTCTCAGATGTATACAAGGAGGAAAATGTTGAGTACTGAGTTTAAGTCGATCCAAGAATCCAACATTGATCTTGGAATCGAGATATGTCTCGAAAAATCTATACAATTTGATAATGATAAGGTACAAGAGGATGCACTAATACTTTTTTTTATCCTATCTTACAGTTTGTATCATTTGATAAGTGTTCACCATTTCATAAAAATTTCCTCATAAGTTTGAATACTGAGTTGATTCCTAATATAGTATCTAAGATATTATCTTGTGAAAAATGGAAGAATACTGTGAATATGGAAATTTATATACTTGAGAAAAATCATACATAAGAAATAGTTGATCTACCCAAAGGGAATAAACTCGTGGGATAAAAATGGTCTTTACTATCAAATACAAGGCAAATGGGACAATCGAGAGATATAAAATAAAACTAATAACAAATAAATATATACAAACATGTGGGACAGAGTTAAGAAAAACTCTGCACGAATTTTTTTATCATTAACTATTCAGTTGATTGACAATTAAAACAATTTGATGTAAAAAATGTCTTCTTACATGAAGATTTAGAAGAAAAAATCTATATGAATATCCTACTAGGTTTTAACAAAGAAACATGATCAAATAAGTATGTAAACTAAAGAAGGCTTTGTATGGACTCAAGCAACCGCCAAAAACATGGTTTGGCAGGTTTGCAAGTGTGATAATAGATCTTAAATTTAATTAGGGTCAAGGAGACCACACTTTGTTCATTAGATACTCAGAGATAATGGGTGTTACAGCTCTCCTTGTATACATTGATGATATTATCGTAATAGAAGATGATAAGAAATAAAAATTAATAATGAAGTAGTGCTTAAGAAAATAATTTGAAATTAATGAACTTGGTAAGTTGAAGTATTTTTTGAGAATCGGCCGCTCAAAGTTTTAGATTTTTATTTCTCAATACAAATATATTCATTGACCTGTTGAGGGATACTTCAATTAGTATTTCTATTGATTTTAATAACAAATTGGGAATAGCAGAAGAAGATATATCTGTAAAAAAAATGTGTTAGAGGTTAATTGGGAGATTAATATACTTATCCACGTTAGACCAGACACTATCTATGCAGTGAATATTATAAGTCAGTTAATGTACAGTTTGAAAGAAGTGCATCTACAAGTAATTTACAGAGTATTACATTACTTCAAAGATTACCTCGAAAAAAAAATTATGTTTAAGAATATTGATAGCTACTCATACAAGCCCATATTGATGTAGAATATGTAAGGTCATGTTTTAAAAACACCACTAGGTATTGTACCTTCTTTGAAAGTAATCTAGTCATTCGGAGAAGTAAGAAGTAAAAAAGTAGTTATGAGATGAAGTGTAGAATTAGAATTTCAAACATTAGTACAAGGGATATTAAACTATTACGAATGAAATTTTTTTGGAAGATCTTAAAATCAAGTGAGAAAACTCTATGCGCCTACATTTTAACAACAAATCAGGGATAAGCATTGTTACAATCTTGTGCAAAACAATCGGACCAAACACATTAAAATCGATTTATCAAAGAAAAATTTGACAACGACCTATTATGTACCTTAGATATGCCCACCAATTCTTAACTGATAGATGCGTTAGTAAAGCTTAAATAATTCGGCAGTCCAATATCTTCTTAGTAAGGTGGGGATGAACAATATCTATTCTCCAGTTTGAGGAAGAGTATTAAAAGAATGGTAAATTAGGTTAAAAAGTATAATGGTAAAGTATTGTAATTAATTATAACTTTTTCTAAAATTAAGTAACTAATTGTAATTTATTGTCTATTTTTATTTTGTATCCTAAAAAACCTGAATACATAGAGTTGTAATATTACCAAACCATTCTTGAAAGTTTCGATGGGAAATGTTTTATCTAATTACTTTTAAATTATCCTTCTGGTTTTTGTAGGCACAAAAAAAGCACGTGAAGTTGTCTTTTCAGTCCTTCGTGATGCATGCAGTTGTGGTGATCTCTCACTTGCTGAAGCTAATGAAGCAGCTAGGGACATCTTTGTACAAAATGCAATTCAATTTTACAAGATTGATTTGAATGTGAAATTGTCTGGCTCAAACTACAGTTCATCTCTCAAGTCTGCAATGGTGGAACACAATGGCCAAGAAACTGGCGCGTCACTTGTTCGTATTATCTGGGTTGATTCTTCTGGGCAACACAGATGCCGGGTGAGTTTTTGTTTTTTCTTTTATTTTTCAATGGTTAAATCATTATTTTACTTTTATTGGCGAATATATATAGAAAGGAGCTAAACTGAAACATTTTCTAAACTGGAAAGCATTATTGCCTTTGATGTTGGAGGAATGTGGAAACTCATATTATCCTAGCTTGCATAGATAAGTACAAGGTTTCATGGTTTAGAAGCGAGCAATTATTCATCTTCCCCCGTTAAAGACAAGTGATTCTTATGCTAAAGGGATATACTCCTTGGGCTGGCCATGCAGGTTTTATTCACTAAAGGGATGCATGATATGCTTTTTTTCCTGTGGTTTTGACTTACTAATCTTGCATAATTCTTCTTGTTCTTACTGGTTTAAAACTATATGACCTTGAGATATTTCAACAAAAAAAACTGTATGACCTTGAGTATCTCTCGATCTACACTGACCATTATGCTTAGATTCTGTATGTATTCTATATCATTTTGTTTTCTGCTTAGCTATTGCTGTTCTTTGTCCTTTTCTTTGTTGCATATGCTCCTGCACTTTGCAGGTATCGGTGCAAGCGTACCATGAGTTTATTTTTTAGTAGAAGAGTCTACAAGCTTTATTTCTTGTTAATAGGAAAAGGAATAAATTGTTCATAAGACTTGGTCATTACTAGACGGCAGGAATGGCATGACTGAAATCATTCAAAAAATTATCTTAAAAAGTTCTTTTGCACTTTTGAACGAAGGCTTGGAACTGTAAAATGTTCTTCAAAAAATTCTGAGATCTTCAAAAGAATTATATGCCTGGAGGTTCAAAACCATGTTCAGTTGTTTTGTTTGTTTTCAGATAAGAACCTGTCACGTGGGAATATGGTCTTCATTTTCTGAGTCCAGCAGCTTAAGTTGAATATAACCTGTTGATATTTTTGCTTTCAAAAAAGATGTTTACTTCTGGTAAAGTGGCGTTGCGTTCATCAGGATTGTTGGTCATTTGAATGGCAGCATCACATCGCCTCAACAATGCTACTGCACATTGCCAATTAGTTGTAGGAGACTGAGGCCAGGTCATCAAGCAGAACATCTCTGCTTTTAGTGGACAATGGTCTAGATTTATATACTGGCTTGAAGTACCTAGAATTTTAACTTAGACTTGAATAGTGAGGCCAGAAGAAGTTCACATATCTCATCACCTTAAGCTTGGATGTTATGTATCTTTAAATCTTTGTATCATAAACTAGATAGTGAATTATCTTCTCTAGAATATTCATTTGAGATACTCATAGTTTTTGAGAACTGCATTAGGTAAATATATTTGATCACTGATTTCCCTCATATTGTTTGTCATTCTAGGTTATCCCAGTAAAGCGTTTTGATGATGTTGTAAAGAAGAATGGTGTTGGCTTAACTTTTGCATCTATGGGGATGACTTCATTTGCTGATGGACCAGCAGAGGAATCTAATCTGACTGGAGTTGGTGAGATTAGATTAATGCCTGATCTGTCCAGTAGACGGCGAATCCCATGGTACGATGTTTTCCATGACAAGTGTCCATGCGTTTTCTACTTGCACCTTTATGACATGTGAACTCTTCTCATTTCTCAATATCAAGGAAGAATGGTAAAATAATTTAGAAGAAATTTCTGTGTTCAACCTAGCACAGATGCAGTTGAGAAGGGCTCATGGGTCCTCTTGAAGGTGAACTGGAAAATAAAATATTTCCAATCAATCAGGTTCACTAGAGATTCTATGGAAAGTTTAGGAAGATTAACTGTATTGTAAAGATTTGAATTCAAGCAAGTAATTGCATAGGAAATTATCTATTATAGGAACCTGGCTTTTTATGTTAAATTTTTTTGAATAAGTCAAACCATGAATTTATGGATTCTATAAAGAGAGTTACCTGTCTTAGGTGGGTAGTTTCTATCCCTAAGTTGGCAGGTAGGTTCTAATTGACAGAGCTATACTTTTGGCTTCTGTTCTATGATATTATGCAGAAAAAAAGTTGTCACTTATCAAGATCTTTGAGTCCTCTCTCAATGAGACCTCATATTCTTATTCATCATAGGTTTCAAAGGAAGAAAAACCAGAGAAAATCTGGTTTAACTCTAACAGATTTCAGCCCCCAAGGACCCATAACTAGATCCAGGGCACTGGGACATACCAAGGAGTCAATTCACTGCATGTATCCCTTTAATTTATATTGACATAATTCTCTTCCTGACAGGGCTAAGCAAGATGAGATGGTTTTGGCTGACATGCATCTTAAACCTGGTGAAGCATGGGAATATTGCCCAAGAGAGGCCTTACGAAGAGCCTCAAAGATTCTGAAAGATGAATTTAACTTGGTATATTAGACTTGTTTCTCATATTTCATGTCAAACTAAAGTCTTTGGATACTTTATTTACAAATTCTATATGTTTAGGTTATGATGCAGATTCGAGACGAGTTTTTCTA